CCCCAAAACCCCAAAACCCCAAAACCCCAAAACCCCTCGAGGAATCTGGTGCATGGAAATTGACAAAAAACGACTTAAGCACTACTAGAATTGGGTTAGTCTATCCTGATTCTGCAAAGTGGAGATTAGAAGAATAAATACCTCTGACATCTTCATTTTAAATATACTGAAAAGATCTTTTACTATGAAGGAGACATATTGATGATATTTTAGGGAGACTAGGACCCAATGCTGATTAGATAACATTTTTGGATTTTATGAATTATATAAAGACAGTGTATTTCTGATCAAAAGATAATTATATTACTTGTTTTTTGTATCAAAACTTCCCTCAGATCAGCTATCATATATAAAAGATCACATGATTAAGTAATCTAGAAGCTCTCGAAATACGAATTTTTAAACCAACTATACTAAATCTCTAACAAATTACAAGTATAAAATTGTCTTATTAACTGATCCTTATCTTAACTTTTAAAATATGCATCAATAATAGTCTTGTGTTTCATAGAAGGATTCTGCATATTTTTGCTCAGTATTTCCTTGATTTTACTCTTCGATTTCGCATTCTTCAATAAGCGTGGGTTGCTAAAATACGGTCAAAACCAGATTCTATCTAAAATTGCAACCAAATAGGACTAAACTTGCCTCTCAGTGATGGAAGGAAGCTCCCTCTGCAATGTTTTCATAGGGACGCTTAGCCTGGAGTCACCGTTTTTGGAAGCACGAGGAGGAGAAAAGGGAACAGCCTGCTCTGTAGGTGGGTTGAAGGAATTTTGAGTGTAATTAGGTGACATTTGGAAGGCATTCTGAGAGTTGTGGGTCATGTGATGGACTTGGGAAACAGGCTTGTGGAGGGCTTGGTTGCGGATAGGGTGCTTGGCTCGTTCTTGTGCGATGAAACCTTGTGCTGATTTGAAGTAGGTCTTGAGTTTATTTGATTTTGTCGTGAATGTCAGATTCGTTTATCTTGTCTTTTTGAATAGAAGCATTTTTACTATGGGTCCAGTTTAAATTTTTGTTCTTCATTGGAGCAGTTTTAGGAGAATGAAGTAGTTGTAAATATTCAACAGCATCATCAACGTTTTTACCTTCCTCCTGTTCATTTTCTTCTTCATGCATTAAGAAAGAAGAATCTGCAAATCTACGTATATCATCAGTACTTTTTATCATATTCATTCTTTGAGGATCGATAGAGATATTTGGTGAGGCAGATTTAATAGCTCCTATAATGCCCATGTATGATCTTAAAGATGTAGATTTAGTAATCCTATCTTTCCAAGTATCCCTGGGAATGGTGCCAGAGAATACTCTATCACTGATTTCTCTAGAAGAATCTCTGCCTCTTTCAATCTCTCGGAAAGCTTCAGTGTATGGTTCTGGTTCTTTTGCAATAATTTTAGTTTCACTCCACTGTCTTTGTCTATGTCCTTTATAAACATTGAAATTCTTTTTAGAAGCTCATTTAGATTTCTTGTAGTCTCTATAAGGAGTGTCATACAATGTCTTTGTATTTAATGGCTCTGGGTTAATTCTTGAAGTATTCTCAAACAATATTTTCAGTCTCTCATTATCAGTCTTTGTTGAATATCTTAACTTTGGGTTGATCTCATTATCCCTGACTCTTGGCCTAAGCCACCCTGTATTCCTTGAAGGTGCTTTTGCGTCATAACTTCCTTTCTTCAGATGGCCTGCCTTAAATTGCTCCATTAATTGTAACGATTTGATCTTATCGGGTTCATATTTATAAGGAAGGACAGTTTTCTTAAGTTTTTCTTTCTCTCGTTCTCTTTCTCTAAATTCTATCAAGTCAGGATGTATGAGTTTGATTGCTCCTTCATTATAATATTGTTGGTACTCTCCTATTCCTGGAATACCTCCACCATCAGTGTTAGATGCATTAGCCGTGTTAGCGATCTGGTCTAACCATTCCTTCCTTCTGAACTGGAGGTTCTGAGCAAGTATATGACGTTTTTTCTTAAGGAGCCGAAGGATTTCTTTTTCTTTCTGCTTATCTTCTTGTGCACTGATCTTCTTGAGCGAAGAATATTTATTGTTCATTTTATTTATGAAATCAATTTTATTAGAATTATAGGGGTTTTGGGGTTTTGGGGTTTTGGGGTTTTGGGG